TAGGAAGCATAGACCTATCTATTTAGCCACAAAATCGTTAGAAACAGTCAACATGGAGGTTTCGCTAACTTCCGGCCCTCCCTACTCCCCCCTCTTGGACAGAGACCTTTCTGAACTGCTCCTTCTACTCCCCCCCTGGTTTCCCACTATCGCCGCGATTTCAACGCTAAACACGTCTCTTGGGGCTGTCGACAAACCAATAGTAAAGGCATCTTCTTTCTTGCCAAAATTCTTGACTTCAACCTCACAGTTGGAGCACCCCCTGACCCCACGTTCCTCCCTGCCCCCCCGCAATCAATTCTCTGACATCCTTGACATTTTATTCATAAAAAATGTTACACTTTCCCCCGATCCTATCGTCACTGATGCACTAAATTCGGCCCACCTTCCAGCACTACTTGAAGTCAGTCGCCCAATCATCAACCCCCCAAACCCAACTACGTCACTAGATTGGCTACACCTCCGTTACACCCTCGAAATATCTTCATTCAAGTGCACCCCGATTCGCACAATAGCGGAACTTAACGAAACTGTGAATCTCCTTTCAAACGAGATTACCAGCGCAATCGAGCTGTCCACTAACTCCCACCCAACGCCCACTAAAGACAGTACCTTCCCCGCAGACATTCTTAATCTCCTTAAGACGAAAAACAAGGCCCGACGTCTGTGCAGAAGTAAACGCCCTTCAACGAGAACTAAAAACTCGTCTCACCGGGTTTCGCAGCGCATCCTTCAATTACTATATCGCTCAGGCAGAAACACACAGCAAAGTAGTTGAATCAATCCTTCTCGATCGGTTGTTAGACCACGTGGAGCAAAACAATCTTCTCCCCGATCATCAACACGGCTTCCGCAGGCATCACGTCACCGGACACCAACTTCTCCGCGTATCCGAATACATTTCTGACAACCTTAACAAGCGACGTCACACCTCCATGCTTCTTCTTGACATTCATCAAGCGTTCGACCGAGTCTGGCACGAAGGCCTTATCTCAAAACTCATCGCCCTTAACATTCCACATTTGCTAGTAGGGATTATCAGATCCTTTCTCACAGATAGACACCTATTCCATTCAAACTGTTTTGTGCGGACATGCACTCCGACACTTACATTTTGACAGCTCTCTACGCAGACGACATCGCCCTCTTAAACTCCGCCCAAACCATTCTCCAATGCACAGGGAGAATTAATAAGTTTCTGCCCCTGTTCCTAAACTGGTACCGAAAATGGAAACTCTCCATTAACGAGACCAAATCGGAAGCAATTTTCTTCTCACGTAGGCTCCGAAACCCTCCCTTCATCATCGTCAACAACCGCCCCATCAAATGGAGCAGCTCCGTCACCCACCTAGGCGTCGTTTTCAACAGATGCCTGAAGTGGTGGCAACACATTAAAGCAACCCATAAGGCTCTGGGTGCATTCATCACACTTAAACCTTTCTTTCGTAAAAACACCATCTCCCAGCAGACCAAAATCCGTGCGTTCAACGAAATTATTAGGAGCATTTACTCCTAAGCCATTCTCGTCTGGGGCTGCGTTTTTCCCCACCGTCTCAAACCTTTGCAAGACACCTACATGCGGATTCTTCGCTCCGCATTAAACTACCCTTGGTTCATCAGAAACACTCAAATTCTGAATGATGCCGGTTTACCTTCTCTCCCTGAGGCTGCAATCTCATTCGCGGCAAATCTTCGGGCCTCAGTGTCAGTCCACGCAAACCCCACCATCTCGACACTCTCTAACTTCGTAACGAAACCAAACGACCGCTTCCGAAGGCCCTGTTACCTTCTACAATGAGCCGCTCTTTTTCGGTCACTTCTATTTCCTAGCGCGTGTCCACCCAGCACTTCAGAGATAGATCACCTACTTCGGTTTTCCTCCCCAACGCTCCCTTCTCCCCCCACTCTTAACCCTCTTCCAATCTCAACCCTATCCCCAATCCTCAGCTTTCCACTTTCCTCCCGGGGATGAGCAACCCACAGGGTTTATCTCCTCGCTCGACGAGGGCTTTTAGTCGGTAAGAATCCGACACTACCTCCCTTTAGGGGGTATCTCTTGAAGATTTCCCCTCCTCGATAGACAAACAAAAACAAAAAAAAAAACGAAAGCGGGACCAACATCAGTCTCAAGCTTCCTCTAAGAATTTTTCCCAGTAGGAACATTAGATGGCCCTTAGATTTGAACAGGGTGTCAGGAGTTTTCTTTGTATAGAACCCTACCTCCAAGTGCTATTAAGAATATGGTGTGACGGTAACCAGTGTTAGTGTCGGACAATAGCGTTAAGTTTAAGTTTAGAGCCACACGCGGGCTCACACTTTCACGTTGTGATTAAGAATATTTGCATCGTGGTTGAACTTTCATGACATTTTGTTCTTCTTCAAGTGCCATCTTCGTTCCTAAGGTTTGTAATCATCAAGACTACGCGTATTATCGTGACAGGTGGTTATTGGTGGTGTGAAACCATTCGCGTAGGTTTTTCACTCAGGAATGTCTTCGCCTTCCTACTGATTTGCAGAAGTTATTGTCCCAATAGGATTCTATTATTGAAGCAGATGGTCTTCTAAAGCGAATGGTAGAAAATTAGGGAGTTACTGAGAGCAGGCATCAACTGATCATACCGCGAAATTTGATGGAAAAAATCTTGCAGTACTTTCATGACGGCTTTTCAGAAAGGCTTTTTGGGATTAACAAGACCCTTGGAAGGGTATGTGGACAAAATTACTGGGTCAACTACAAAAAGGGCGTTAAAGACTATTGTAGGAAATGCACGATTTGCGCAGCCAATAACGAACCACAAAAGAGACAGTGTCTCCATTAGCAATATATTATCCGCAGCCCATTTGAGAGAATTGTCATAGATATAGCAGAACCGTTTCTGGAAAATGATGATGAAAATAAGTACATTGTAATGGCAATGGATTACTCTACAAAATGGGTGGAATTATGCGCCCTTCTCATTTAAAGGGTCACTACAGCAGCGGAAGAGTTCGCCAAACAGCTAATATAAATGATAAATCGAAAAACTAGAAACCTGTGGATAACTACGTCAATAATGTACTCATCTTAAACTACAGAACTTTAATGCAACATCTAGAAAGGAGCCCACCCCCTCCCATGTTTGAGAAGCAATATAAAGAATACGTAAATTACATACTGAATAAGATTTTTAGTGTTAAGCAAATGCATGAGTTAGGCTTAGTGCAACGAAGTAGTGATAATCGTAAGAGGCTGTGGAATATAATTAGGTGTAATTTTTTTATAAAAAGTGATCATAATTTTAGTAGTTTAATTATTGAAGGTGAAAAGTACTTAAATGACAGCAGGGAAATTGTTAACTGCATGTACAACTGTTATTCTACGATTGATAATTTGCAAATTGATAATAATATTGTCCTGTCTATCTTTCTTTAAATCGCAGCAATTATACGCGAAATGAAAATCAAAAAATGGTGATATAGATGGAATAAGTACTAAGATGTTGAAGGTTTTGTCTAATTTTGTGGTGGCATAGCCTCATATTTTGACATTCTGAACCACGAAACCCTCTTTTCTCTATTTTCGAATACTCTGTACAGTAAATTAAATTTAGATAGCACAGACGATCTTGTAGGAAAACGGGTAACAAGTTTTGTTTAAAAAAATTTTCGGTTAAACTTATAGTTTGGCTGTAATGAGTTTACTGCGTACTTTTTAGGCCACCCTGTACAATGATTTTTAATTTTTTGAATAATGAATCCGTAATTGTTTATACTGATAAAACTGCAATAATTTCTATGGCTAATGTATCACTAGAAGCCCAAGAAAAAATTAATAAATTGCTTGTAATTGTACGCAAAAGTAAATTGATGTTGAACATAGATAAAACTGTCTCTACAGGGTGTTTCTGAAGTTGAATATCGTTAAAACAGTATACAGGGTGTTTCTGAAATAACTGGTAAGCTTTGGAGAGTGCCAAATAGATGCAATAAGAAATCAAATGACGAGTATAGTCAAAAAATTGTAAGAAAACCACAAGTTACAATCCGAGGACGCTCTTTGGCACATGTGCACCAAATTGAAATAAGGACTTAGAAGCTACATCGGCCGAGAAGATAAATAATACCACTTGTCGATCGACTAAAGTAAACATCAACCAAACTTAGTAGGTACAGAAGATAAATGAATATCATTTTGATAGGTAAATGCAGTTTTATTAAGGCAAATTTTCACGCCACCTTTGAGGTACTGCTAAGTTCTTATAACAGAAAACACACACATCCATCCACTACGAAATTGTTCGAAATTTAAACCTCGTGTTAGAAGATTGCCTTCGAGACGTCTACCAAAACTTATTTCTGAGTCGTGTAAAAACGTCCGGCATGTACATATTTCATTTGCATCGACCATCACATGATCATGCAGATCATTAGCGTTGTGCACTGGACTTTGATACACAGACTGTTTCATACAATCCCATACAAACAAGTCGTGCGGATTTAAATCCAAGATACAGTGCCCTTACGTTCAATGAACTGCTGGTCTAGTAACTCACGTACTACTCGTGCACTGTCAAATAGGAGGAGCTAATATTGTGTGTTATTTCGCGTGTACTACTTTAGAGGTTGTCTTCTATAAAAATTAAGGATTTCACCTTCTCAGCGATGATATGGTTCGGACGTTAACGCCCACAGCCCGCAAAAGTAGAGTGTACCTTGCGATTACTAGGTACTTCGTTTTCATAGAATGGAAAGAAAATAAATAATATATTCAACAACGTCCACTTATTTTTGCTGCAAGGAAGAAGCACTTAAATTTGTTAACAACTTTAGCTTTTGACCAACAGTAAAACTAAGTTTCATAAAAGATTCAGTGACTACGACTATTGTCTATTTTTCAATCTTCTTTTTAATCACGCTAAATATGCATTAATGTATCATTGTTAACTAATTCTTGTAGCTTGTTTATTTAGCTAAAAATAATATTTTTGAAAATTAATGTAAGTTTATTTATTATTATTTTATTTTTTGCTAAGTGACGACACAAATTAGCACACTTCACACTTAAATTATTATCATAATAACATATCTTACATTCTGTCTAAATTAAATTATATTCTAATCTTTAAAATCCTAACCAAATAAGTGAGTTCACCATTGTTCGTAAATTCGGAAAGTATGTTTGAAGGTAATTTTACAGAGTGGTTAAAAATGTCGTCATTGCCTGTATATTCTTGACACAAGTCGAGTCTTGTGAGCTTTTTATGTGGTTTTCTTTCATTAATCAGTGTTATCTCATACGAATATACTTTAGTTTCACTTTTAGGACCTACTAATTGTACAGCCCAATTCTGGTGTCCATTCTCTTGTTCATAGGATACCCTAAAAATTTCGCCGTAGGTCATTAAGCAGTAGGTCTGACAGAAATGTCGTTCAACCCAAAAAGGGGCTGTTGACTTTTCCTGATTTGTCATATATGTAGCATCCGTATGAACATTCTGTAAGATAAAGTAGCAGACATTTTATTGTAAGAATCACAATAAAAAAAATAAATAACGTAATGAGCGCGACAAAATGGTAAAGTTTTTGTCATGACAAATATAAAAAAAATTAATTAAGGAAACCTAAAAACGGTTTACTTATCCAGTATTCACATTGTTTCTCATAGCTTTTTAAGGACCATAGTTGGCAATGCATATTATTTATACATGCTGCAGAGGCAGATCTACTGTTTACTTCACTATGACATTTACTTAATTTTTTATGAAATCATGATAGTTTGTTTCAAATACAATAGTATTAGTTACATGCTTACATTTTAAAGTCTTATAATATTCATAGAACATATATACATTCTAAATATTTTCTTGGCATAGAATGAAGTGAATACTTCTTACGCGAAATAGCTCACGCCCCGATGCTGTTACGGCGGACAAAACTCTTTACTTACACCTTTCACTTATGGAAAATAGTCCAGAGTGTCACTCATAGTTTAACCAATATGTGGTACTTTGCTGCATAAAAAGTACTCACTTCAAAATATTATTGTATTCTACCTTTAAATGGCACGATAAGTTTGTAAGTAAACCAATCCAATCACAATAAGTATTCCCAAATGGGCAAATGTATGATCTAAATCTACAATCTCCTTCATGTTTATTAATATCCTTTTCTAGAAAACTTTGTTCACATCCACGATGGTAATAGGAGCATGGGAAATAAATGCCATTGCTGAAACTTTCTAAAGAATAGTTTCTTGTATTTCCCAAATCTGAGTGACAGATGGGACAATCCATTAGTTTTGGTTTACATTGTTTACATATACTATGGCCAGAAAGGCACTGATATATTGGTGCTCTCATGTAATTATTACATACAGGACATTCAAAGTTTCGTAAAAGTTCTTCACTTGTTTTGCTTTCACATACATTGGATAGTATTTTAAATGTGCATTTGCAAAAACTGTCAGTTGAAAACCTTTTTAAAAGACCTATGTCTATTTTAAGTCCATCATTGTAATCTTTATTGTAATTGCTAATATGTACTACCTCAAATTTATTCGTCTCATGACTAATTAATGCATTCTCAGAAGTACTCAGTTGAACAATAAATTGGTAGTCATTAGCTTTTGATTTAAAGTCATCAACAAAGAAGACAGTAACTGAAAGTATTTGATTAACTATGTCATTACTTATTAGTGATATAAAGATTCTATCAGATAGCATCATTAATTTTATCTCTTTCACATCATTTTCTACATCAACATTTAACAAAACAGAATTGATTTCTGCTTTTATAATATTTTGAGGATGTTCTTGAATGAAATGATGTACAAGATCATTATTATACCCCAACCATTCACAATGATCAATTGAATTTATTGGGCAAGAAAAACTGCGATAAGTACATTGCTTCTTGTGTACTGCCATTTCTTTGTAGTGGTTTCGAACTTTGCAACCATTTTCAGAGTTCATGCACCGAATGCTCAGATTTTCTAGTGTTTTCTCTAAAGCAATGTTAGGAATAAATCCCTTTGAATCATTTTTCCAGCAGTTTCCACAGATATTTCCTTTTTTTCCCAACATAATTGGTGGCCATAAAAACTCACAACAATTTACACAATAAAGCTCACCCTGCGAAGTTACTTTGTCACTTAATTGAATTGCAGTCATTGTCTCTAGAAGTTCTTTTTCAGTATCTGCAGTAATTATGACTAAGAAAGTTAGGTATATGGCATGTTTTCTGATTATGTAATTTAAACAATTGAAGCAGCAGCTTACCTTCGCTAGACATTTTTCCTTCTGGTATATTACAGTTGAAAACACAAACCTGATTTGGTCATTCTTTTACACAGTATTTAAATATGCCAATTCAATGGGTTTGTATTAGCTTATGTTATAATGAACAATAAAACCATGATATACATCAAGATAATACACATAAGTACTCATAACAAGCTCATGCTCATAAGGTCATAACGTAACCTTGCGTGACCTGATGTTTACATATGATACTTATGTTTATGTGATGTATTGTTTTGGACCTATGTTTTGGGCATAGATTTCGGAGGATTATGCTCATATCTATGGTTATGTTTCATTGCATTTTCATTACAACTTTTAACCATAGACAAAACTTTCAACTTCTATGAAGTTAATCGTGTCGCGATTAGTCAGTCAAGTCATTAAAGAAGAGCATCCCGTTAATAAATCGGTAAAGTCTAGATACTCTGGCATTTCACAGTATTCTCACTAACTAAGGGGCCATCCATAAATTAGGTCACACGAATTTCATGATTTTTTGACCTCACCCTCGTCCTTGTCACAGCTGGTCACATTTGTGAAAACCCCTTCCTAGTGTGACGCTACATATTTTGCAATTTTTACATCTATAAATTATTGGATTAAAACAGCAGTTCCGAAATTAGTTTTGTTTCTATTTAAATTATTTATAACTGACACAGAAGCCACTTCGTTCTCATTTGGGTTGTTAATGTCGGGAACATTCATTGGGTCAACATCTGTGTCATCCAACCATACAGCATCATCGTCACCATTCAAACAGATAGTTTATCTGGTACGTCTAGCAGCAATTCTCTGAGGACGAATCCTCGCGATAGGCAAAACTTCTTGTTGACTCTTGACTTTTGAAAATTTTGAAATGTGACGTCACGAAATTTAGGAGGGAGGGGTCCTATCCCCTTGTCACACAATGTCACACTTCGTCGACCCTCCCTCACCCCCTTAACGTGTGATGTAATTTATGGATGACCTCTAATTTACTGCAGAACATCTGCAGAATAAACTTTGTAGTTTTCGTGTAAAGACCATTTATTACTATTTTTTTTACATTGAAGAGAATCTAATGTTTAGGACCCGACGGCGCCAACTGCTTTTGTGTATTACAACAATAATATTTGTCAATCCATCTAAGATTTTTTACCACCTATTCAGGTTCACGGAGTTGCAGTGAAACTACCACCTTTCTGAAAAACAGAGTCTAAAGTATAACTGAAAGCTCAATTTCTACTAGCAAAACATAACTGCGGACATGGCAAAATTCAACCATGTAGTTGGTGCCATTAACACAGAAATTTTATCTCAAGTAACAGATATTTTAATTTCTCCACCTATTGCTAATCGGTACCTACATTATAATTAAAAAGAGACTGATAAACATTTATTCTGATTCATATGAACAATACCTTCGTACAGTACTATCGGGTGTTTATACAACAAAAAACAGGAACACCTATTAAACGAGATGAATCGGTTGGGAGGTACAGCAGTACCAGAAGAACCACTAAGAAATGTAACGTCTTTCTACTCACGTACAATCAATATTAACTACAAGTTCAGACATGATTGAAAAATTGACTAAAATGGCAGACAATGTAAATAATAATAATTTTTCCAATACATTACTACAGCTAGTTAAGGAAGTGGCAGAACTTAAAACGGCATACCGCAGAGATTTTGAACTCTTCACAAAAACTACTCAGGACACGTTTAAAAACCTCGAAGCAGCGTGTTGTTAACAATGAACTTTCGTCATCGTCAGTTGAATAATAAAGTTAAAAAGTGTTGTGCGCCCTGCAAATATTTTAAAACTAAACACTAATTCACATTTTAATGGGCTGGAAAACAAATCCGCGTCCGACAAGGGGACTAAAGGCGCGGACAAACACAGTCGCTTTCAAGCTCTTAAAATTCCCAATCGTCGAGTAAACATTTATGATCCTGGAAACAAATTAAATTTTTCATTGATTTAGAAACCAAAAGTAAAACAATTTAAATTTTACCAAATTTTTAGTACCAAATGTTTCAATAATAATAATATTATTGACACATTTGGTACTTAGTAACGTGCGCGCGAACCAGATACCTACCTTCATCTTCGGGGATTTCAACTTTCCTGACACTACCTGGGAACATGGCCTACCACAGAGTCCACGCGAAGTAGATAAAGCTTTTATCGAAGCGCTGTTGGACTCGAACCTGGAGCAACTGATCCGTGAACCCACACGGCACAGGGACGTCCAGACTCCGTCCATCCTCGACCTCGTGCTTACCAACGAGCCCCAGCTTCTCTGGTCTCCCCAGCTCCACCCTGCCATCGGAGGCAGCGATAACCAGGTCATCACAACTCACCAGGCCTCTCCATGCACTAGAGGACCGGATCCCCTTCTAAGTGGACTATTCCACCATCTCAGCCAGGATACCGGATCGACTTCCACCTCCAATGGAAGATCTGATCCAGATCTACGATGACTTCACTGAGTCTCTGACCTCTCTTCTCCGTGAAGCTGCATCTCCATCTCGGAGGGTGTGCAGGAAACGGCCCCTGAAACCTTGGGTCACAAACGACATTCTGTCAAATATCACGAAGAAGAAACGTCTCTGGGAGGTGTATAAACGGACCAAAACCCCAGCTGCTTACCAGAACTACCGGGCACATTCCAACAGTCTTTCGAACATCATCAGGCTTGCCAGGAAGCAGTATGAGACCGGGATTGCAGCGAAGGGTGGCAAACTCCTCTATGCATACTTGAGTCGAGCATCCACCTCTCATAGTCCAGTCCCTAACGCCATGAAGAAGGGTGATCTGGAGATCACTAATCCCTCAGACATCGCTGAGCTCTTCGCCGACACCTTCGCCGAGGTTTATACAACCGAACCTCCCGGCCCGCTACCTTCCCTTGACTACCCTCCTCAGGATGACCATCTTTCCGACATCGATCTCTCCGTCAGAGACGTCGAGGAAGTCCTTCGCTCCTTGGACAGCTCTGCCTGCAGTGGCCCAAACGGCATTCCATCTGTCGTTCTTAAGAACTGTGTGGAAACCCTCGCACTTTTTCTTCAGGCAGTCTCTGGACAAAGGTACCATCCCGGAAAACTGGAGGAGGGCCACGGTCACTCCGATCTTCAAGAAAGGTAGCAGGCACTTGGCGAGCAATTACAGGCCTATTAGCCTCACCAGCGCCACCTGTAAAGTCCTGGAGCGCCTGCTTGCAAAGGAAATCCTAGAGTTTGCCTTGCAGAAGGGAATCATTCCCCCCCCAACAACACGGTTTTGTACCTGGGCGCTCGATCAGCTCCAACATGCTTCTTTGTCTGGACGATTGGGCCAAAGCGTGGACTCTGGGATTCCTGTGGACATTGTCTACCTCGATTTCTCGAAGGTTTTTGACAAGGTTCCACAACGACGGCTGCTCCAGAAGCTACACCATCTGGGAATCAGGGGCAAACTTCTTGCCTGGATCCGAGGCCTACATGCGTGACAGGACCTTCCAAACAAGGATTGGCGACCGTCTCTCCACCTCTAGGTTGGCTCCGAGTGGGGTTCCCCAGGGCTCTGTTCTTGGTCCCCTGCTTTTTAATCTTTACTCATCCGACTTGCACGTGCGAACAACATCCCAGCACCAGGCATACGCGGATGATAATAAGATTTATGGGAACCCACTGACCCACGGTGACTCCATCCAGCAGGACCTTCACAACCTGGCTCTGTAGTCCCACGATTGGATGATCCCGCTCAACCCGAGGAAGTGCACTGTCCTACACCTAGGGAAGAAGAAAAACCCACACAGGGTATACCATCTTGGAAACCTGGCGCTGGCTCCTGTTACCTCTCAGGTAGATCTAGGCATCATCGTGTCTGATGATCTTAAATGGGACCTACAACCCACCGCCGTAGTAAAGAAAACCAACTCCTTCCTCTATCGTGTCCGCAAAGCCGTTGTGGAGGTGGACATCCCGCTCCTACGGAATGTACTGACCACCTACGTACTTCCGATGGTCGAGTACGGGTCCACTGTCTGGGCTCCGTACCTCCAGAAGGACATCAAGGCTCTGGAGGGTATCCTGAGACGCGCTTCGAAGATACCCAGAGCACTGAAGTCCTTGCCATACGAGGAGCGCCTGAGACGGCTTGGGCTGCAAAGCCTGGCAGACAGGCGCCTTTTTGCTGACCTCACGGAGACCTATCGTATCCTCCACGGTCTGTACCGTGCCTCCGACCTGCAGAAGATCTTCCTCAGGTCGACGTCGCAACGGGGTCACAATCTGAGGTTGAACGTGTCGCGTTTCAAAACGCAACACCGAGAGTACCACCTGGGCAACAGGGTTATCTCCACATGGAATTCTCTTCCGGCGAGCATAGCCCAGGCCCCGAGCATCGATGTCTTCAAGGCGTCTTTGCACCGTCACCTGTTTGGATCTACGAGATGAGCTGCCAGGACCCCCCCTCTCAAATGATCTCCTACACAGTTTTGTTTACTATAATTTGTATTTTCTGAAATGTAGACTACTATACCAGTTTGTAACTGCTGCCTACTTCAAATAAATAAATAAATATTTCATATTGGGTCGATTTAATAATCGATAGTGATGAACACTTTGTTTTTGAAATTACTTTATTTTCATATACTTTTATTATAAATAACATGGTATATATTTAGACAACAGATATGATGGTAGCGTTGGAAAGATACTTCAGAAAGAAGTGTTTGGAGTTAAACGTTACTAAGACTAAGTACATGGAATTTGGAGAAGTTAGAGGTAGAAAGGGGAAAAAAAACGTGATTAGGTGAAAAGGGGAAGAGATGGAAGATGTTGAAAAATGTATATATTTAGGATATGTTATGGATACGGAACTAGCGAAAGCAAACGCCTGGTTAGGAAGTATATGAGGGATAGGGCACAGATTATGTAGGAATTATTGGATTAGATGAAAAAAGTTGTTTGATTCGACGGTTAGAGGTATAGCTCTTTATGGGGTAGAAGTATGAGGGTGGAATGAACAGAAACAGGTTTATAACGTTTACAAGAAATATAGTAATGTGAAGAATATATAAAATAACTTAATGTTTAAATAGTCAACATACTATTTTCTTATTAAAAATAATTATGTGTTTACTAATTATCAAAGAAGAATTGGAGGATGATGAGTTACAACAGCGACCTCGAATGAATAGTCGAAGAATTCTTGCCCGAATTCTGAAGTATGATGTCGTTAAGCAGGCATCATAGAGGCAAGGTAGACTGCGCTGAAGGGAAGGAATCGGATACACCAAATGACTATAAGTTTGAAGAGATTGTTCGCCAAGTAGTAAGGTC